AGAATGGACAGGGCCTATCTACAAGAGTGTGGCTGTCTCATCAGTAACTACACCACGGAAGAAAATGTCTCCCCTGACTCCCCCAACCATTAACTGTCTATAGATCTTCAGAGAGGAAAGGGTGAGCTTCACCCCACCAGCAGCAGTTAACTGCCTAGAAATCTCCAGGGAAGGGTGAGCCATTATAAGTGCCCCCCCATCACGGAACAATGTTGATAAAGTCCAATCTTGTCAGCTCTGTGAGTTTACGAGTGCAACAGCCCAATCTCAGAGAAATTAGACAACAAAGAGGACCCCAAGGGAGACACACACGGATCTACACAGGAGGGTGAAAAAGACAAGCTCTCCTGAGTAAAGTGGAGTATGAGGGTCAAGGGAGAGGGTAAAAGGGGAGAGGGGAGGAAGAGAAGGGAGAGGAGAAAAATGCATAGCTCAATAAAAACAATAAAAATACAAAATAAAAAAGAGTACAAAAGCTGTGCTATACTTTGGAGACCTTGTTCTACAACATTCTACCCCTTTCTCCTGCCCCTACTTTCTTTAAATCTCCTCTTTCGCCGTATTCTCTGAGCCTTGAAGGGGGTGATATAGATGTTCTATTCAGGGCTGAATGTTCAATAGTCACTGACTCTCAGAACTTTGGCCAGCAGTTATGTCTTCTCAGTAACCACCTCTTACTGCAAAAAGAAGGGTCTCTGCCCAGAGGTGGCAGCAGCATTCATCTATGGGAATAAACATAATTACTTAGAAGCCAGTTTGATGGACAGAGCAAATCCAGTTAGCAAAACGGCAGCAGCAGCCTTTCCAGTAGAACCAGGACCCCTCCAGCTACAGGGCTTTGACCAGGCTTCCTGTACCGAGCACTGGTTCTGCCCTATGAAGCAGGCCTCAAATCCAGTGAGAAAGTGGTTGGTTACCCCACAGTGGACTTGCTACTGTTGCACTAGTGGGCACATCTGGCCTGGAGATTCAACAAAATCGTTTGCAGGGTCCAATGCCAAGCAAGACAACTGGAGTCTTGCTCCAGTTTCTCTACAGTTGTCTGTGTAGCACTGCTCACCCTGGTAGTTGCCAGGGAGAGAGCATCCAGCTCACTTCTAACTTAATTTCTCCATGCCCTTAGACCAGAGCATGTGCCGTCTTCATCAAGAGGGTCTTAACATCTAGTTCCAGTGGGTAGCCCACAGCGGCGGCAACCACCTGTATTTTTTTGGAGGCCTCAGAGGGATTTGTAGGGAGGTAGCCCATCCCTGGAAAAGGGATTTTCATTTAATAACCTATGGATTCCAGGAGTAGCTTTATTTCCCCATTCATGAAGCCTCCATTCAAATGGTTTCTGGCTTCTTTTAATATGTGAAGAGGAAAATGAAAAGGGGTGGGTGGTGGGTATGCATTTTACCTTTTTTAGTGCTGCAGTAGACTTACATCATGGGAAAGGAAAGGAGTGAGCCTGCTTTTTCTATGAAAAAACTAAAATCATAAATCAGATAAGAAAATGAAGCCAAATGTACCTTGGGAACACTCCAGACTCACCGATAAAATACAGCGCACCTGGTGTGTGTACACGGCCACTGAACCAGGCTCGAGAAAGACAAGGGTATTTTGTCAGAAACTGGGTCAACAGACCGCGTTGCTTCCAGGAGCATCTGGAACATGGAGTGGGGTTGGGCAGGCCAATCTCTGTTCGCGCGCAGGATTTACACAGAAGACTTTTTAACAGACAGGGCACATATAATACTCACTAGTGTGTTTCCTTGTTTGAAAGGGAACCAAATGAGATCGTGCAGAGCAGCCACTGTGTAGCCCATGCAGGGTGTGCAGTACGGATCTGGATCTGATTGGATCAAGTTCTATAGTCATATGGTGTTGGAATAGATGTCCAGAAATCATGAGTGGTACTTGAGGTCGTCCCAGGCTGGTGGGAAGGGCTCCTAGTATGAGCTCTGAGCAACCTCTCCTCCCTTAACTCTCTGAGTATCAGGCTTTCCATGTGTTTTGTGTGTTAAGAATTAAAACAGGACTATGTAGGTTACCACAAGATGGCATTCTATTATTTCAAGTAATGCCAGGTAGAGAGAGCCTTGGTTCAATACATTTTTAATTTCTGAAATGCATTAAAATACGTGCCATCCGTGTCACCGTATTTAGCTGTTTCACACAAACCTCTAATTTCCTTCGCCATTCTTTATGGAAACTTGAGGTCTATGTCTGTTAACTCATGGAGGAAAACAACTTAGATTTTGCAAATGATTTTTGCGAGAGTGAATAGTTCATGGTCTCATGTTTAGCTATTAAAAGTTCCATTTTCTTATAGCTGTTTGCAAGGACTGTGAAATGAGTGACCTTTAAGTGTTTTCTACTGTGTTCGCCCTGCTTTTCCATCTATCACCCTGTCTTATTTTTCTCTTAAGCAGATCCGACATATTTATCTACTGCTTTTGTTTGTTTCTTCAAGTAATGTATGACTATTTTAAGAGGCTACATGGTTTTCATTTCCCGACCACATCCTCAGTGTCTGAAACAGTATTTCCCTGTCTCTATCTATCTATCTATCTATCTATCTATCTATCTATCTATCTATCTATCTATCTATCTATCTATCTATCTATGAATGTATCTATCTATCTATCTATCTATCTATCTATCTATCTATCTATCTAT